ATATATATATATATATATATATATATATATATATATATATATATATATATATATACTACTTTATAATGCATTCATGATAAGAAGATGAAAAGTTTTAAGACAAAGTCTTAAAAACAAGGAGATTGAATTGTGGTCATTAGATGTAATTTGAATGGTTAAGATGGTGATCCATGTCAAAGAAAACCAGCCAATCAAAATATAAGGTTTAAAAAAAAAGCATACGCTTTCATTATATAAATTGATGTTGTCAATTATCCTTAAGTTTAATCTCTCTAGAAACCACGCCACGCTCTACTTCCTTGATCTTAAATGTTGAAACTCCAACCGGCTCTTTGCAACTACAAACCTTATTCACTCTCACTTCATCTCTCTAGAAACCCTAAACGCCGCTTGCAGCTACAACATCACCGCCTTGCACCGTCACAGCACCGTCATCGCTGCTAATCCCACCTTAAAGCAAGTATCATACAGTAAGTACCACCACATGATGTTGTTTTCTAGCCACCAAACTCTTTTCCCCTCTCAAGAAAATGCCACACTCCCTACCATCGGACAACCTCAATACCCACCGTTTTGAGCCACCTTTAGCTATTATTCTTCTGCCTTCTACCACCCAAATCTGCTATTATAACCATTTCTGAAAACCTTAGACCAAAAAACCTTTCACAGCTACCCTCAACTACCTACCTTCTAATTACGATCACATAGACCTTCACCACTCACATTAAAAACAATACCACCCTCACAACATCATTAACTCCATTTAGATCTGAGAAAAACGAAGGAGATAGAGAGAGAGAGAGAGAGAGAGAGAGAGTATGGGAGATATACTTTACCAAACATCAATCTTGCTCTTCTTTGTTGATAAATTCTTAATTGTGTAGTGTAAATGTTGAATACATAATAGTTATGTGTAGATATCTAAATATTCATGTTGATAAAGAAAATCACAGTAAAGAAACGCCACAGTTGAGTTCTTGATTTAAAATTTTTATGTATTATGATATTTATTGTATTTGTTTGGGTATTGTGTAAAAGCTTTTTCAGATTAATGTAGTGTTTGTATATATGTTGAGGAAAAGGTCTTACTTGTAGTGGGTTATGTGGGTTTCTTATTTGGACACCCTCTTTCTATCATACTTTCCTTTTCATCTTTATATTTATTTAGAATTGGAAATGAAAATCGATCTATATGTATGAATATAGATGTTTTTGTAAGATATGTATTCAAGATCCTAACTTGATTAATTGTTAGTGTATCAAGGTTATTTGGAATTTTTAGGGTTCTTCTCCTTGATGACATATTTTGATTACAGTGTATTAATGTTTACCCAATGTTTTTCAGTCATCTAAGACAAACTGAAGCAAAAGATCAAAGAACATGAAAGAATTAGAAATCAAGAAGTTATAGAATGGAGTAGTTTCCTACTATTTTAATGCATTTTGCAAGATATCGCAAGGAAAGATCCAGAAGGCGCAAAAGTAAGTGACTTGGTGATTTGCTACTACACACATGGCAAATTGCAAAATAATCTGAATGATCAACATTGGTTTGTGTTTTTCGAGTTTATCTTAAAAATATGTTCCATGGTAGGGTTATAAATTTTAAATGTAAACCAGATATATGAAAAATGAAGACTAAAAGGAAACCTGAAGATTATAGTGATAAAGATAATGATTCTTACAATATAGATCTATTTTGTATTTTATAGGTACTGAGAATTAGTTTCAAAAGTTTCAGATATATGTTCTGTTTGTATAGATCTTGAGCGATAAGCTTGAAAAATTAGATAAAGAAGATGTATGTTTTGATTCATTGATTTCATGTAGATTTTAATTTGTTTATTTTATTTCTTATTTTTTTCTATATTATGCAGGATTTTAGGTTAGTTATTTGAAGCTCCATACAAGTTTGAAAAAGAAAAATTAAAGAAAAGTAGTTGTTAATGATATCCCATCGTTATTTGTTTTTGAGTTGTTTATTTTATTTTCTTAAATTTTTATTGTTATTTGAAGCTCCATATAAATCTGAAAAATAAAATCAAAGAAAGAATAGTTGTTAATGATATCACATAGATATTTGCTTTAAAGATTAAAAAAATCGTATTTCTAGATTAAACAATTCATTAAATATTTTTCTAGAATGAAAAATTATGTTTATTATATAACCTTATATGTGTAATTATTTAATATTGGATATATATGTCTTTATTTCGTTTCAAAAACAATGCAGCACTGTTCATCACAATGCACAACCTCTCATCTCTTTTGTCAATATTTGTTTTATATTTAAAAATATACACAACATATACCACAATTTTAGAGGTTATGGTGAAGTGGATAACTAGAAAATGAAAAAATTGAATCCAGTTTACCTAAAAAATAGCTTAGGTGCAGGTATGTAAATTTAAGTGATATGTTGTTTTTTTTTTTTTTGTATAAACACTTTAATCGATAAATCTCATTGTTTTATTAAATACTAACCGGAAATATGAGTTGTATATAAACTAATAATAAAGTTGATATGTATTATTAAAATAATAAAAAAGAAACAAAACTTTGCCATTATCATTATGGAAATCAATCGTTCTTATATGTTTGTTCATAATTTTTTTTTAGTCAAAAAAATGTTATGTTTGATTATAATTTATCTTGAGTTGAAAAAAGTTAATAACAAAATACTTTATGACTAAAAAGAAATGCATGTGTTAAAATGCGTTTCTATTTTTTTAGAAGTAGTGAGTATCAAAAGTCATCAACGAGAAACAAAATATCAAATGTTACCAATAATTATAATTACGACATGCCTCTTCCTTTTAAAATTAATAATTATCAATATATTATTTTTAATTTTTATTATTAAAGTTTAAATTATGATTAAGATGGTCAATATTAATTTTCTTTGGCCGATTTTATACATGCTAACATGCCATTAATTGTTTCCGTGTGGCAAAAACACCACGGTAATGCACACCATTTTGTGGTTTAAAAGACGGAATGTCACGACCAATTTTATTGGTTAGTGGTGTTACTGTAAAATAAAGATAATATCAAAAATGTGTAAATTCAAAAAGTTTTGTTGTAAACGTGAATTAAGGTTGACAAAAAGAAAAATAAAAATGGCTATTACATTTTAACATGACATTGATTGTTCCGTGTGGGAATGACACCATGGTCGTGCACACCACCTTTGGTGGCATGGCCGTAGTTAGGGATGTGCTTCGGGCCGGAACCGACCCGAACCGGACCGGACCTGAATAGCCCAAAACCTGAATTGAATGAAGGTTGGGACGGAAACGCGGACCGATCATACAAATACGGGAGCGGTGGAGTTCATAGTAGATGTTTTTTTGTGCTCGATCATAGTAAGAACTGAGGAGTAGGAAAAGCTTAGAAGGCTTTTTTTGTGTGGCAAGGTCGATGGAGTTCAATCAATCTAATTAGGAAGCGACAAAAAAATTAACAACATAGTTTGACTTTTGCAATGCTAGGCGAAACTAATTTTCGGCCGAAAACTTATTACCGGAAATAAACAAATAGCCGTCGCTGCATCGCGCGGGTACACTACTAAAATATATATATATATATATATATATATATATATATATATATATATATATATATATATATAAACAACATTCATTAATATTATGGTAGTTGATATTTATTCTTAAATAAATAATAATAGTTGGAAAATTAAAAAAGTTGAGACTAACATCTAAACATGCTCCCAAATAGTTGGGAGTGGACGGAGGTGCGACGTAGAACACCGGCGACTGAGAATAAGGACAAACACAAGATAACCAATGTCTACGTTGCAGGTTTTCAGGGAGGAACGAGAAAATCGGAACTATGGAAACTCTTTGCGAAGCATGGAATAGTGGTAGACGTCTACCTGGGAGGTAGAAAAGATTACCAAAGGCTGAATTTTGCTTTTGTCCGATTCAAAGGTGTGGTAGATGAGAAGGCATTAGAAGTGAATCTGCAAGGCATCAAATGCAGGGGAGTAGAACTCAACATTAGCTTATCCAAACACTCGAGAAAGGCCCCGAAGACTCAACATTCACCTCCTCGATGTAAGTTGTCATATGATGTATCCCCTCCCCCCTTCCGTCGACCGGCCCAAGAGACAAGAGAACCTATGCACAAGTCACAACGAGAAGTATAGAGATTGATTCTAAGCCCACTCAACCTCCGTTAGTGTTAAACACAGAAACATGAATGAGTAAATGGTTGACAAAGAGTGTGTTGATTGGAGAGGCTCATAGCATCGACCACATGGCTAACCTACCTGCTTCACTGATAATGAACAAAAAGACCAAGTACTTGGGTGGTCTTATCATTTCTCTAGACATCGGATGTTCTGTGCTAGCCAGTGAGTTCCTTGAAGATAAAAACATATGGAATGATTGGTTCAAATGATAAGTTAGGGCGGACCAACAAGAACTTCAGTATGAAAGAATTACATGGCTAAAAGTTATCGGATTACCATTGCGTCTATAGGATGAAAATAACTTCACTCTTATTGCAAGAAGATTTGGCAGGGTGATTTCACCATTCAGTGGCATTCCGTCGAGACGGGACTACTCTATGGGTAAAATTGGAATACTAACGTCACAAAGGAAATGGATCAACGAACAAATAACGATACTAGTTGATGGAAGAACATATACAGTAGGCATCGTTGAGTACATAGACGATTGGTATTCATTTCAGTCTGTTACGTTTGATAAGGTTGATGTAGAATCAGTCCATGACAACGATGAAGATGAAATGACGAACGATGATGATGAAGACGTGATCTCGGACACCTGGGTGGAGTATCAAAAAAGTGACGTTGAGGAGGGGGAGATCAGACCGGAATCTCCACCGACGAGATGTCACCAGATAGCATGGGTAATTCAAGCGAGAATCTCATCGTCGAGGAATCGGTTTCGGATGTCGGTGAAGAGGCAATCAACAGTTGCTCGGAATTGACATTGCCTGTGAATGTGGAAATCGAGGGCGCAATTAATACAATTAAACCAGATGTGTTGTTTCCCAATAACTTGGGGACGCTTGAAATCCATAATAATGATATCGAGGTATATATGCCAGTTATACCTTCACAAAACGAGGTGGATATTAATCATGGAATTAATCTGAATCTGATTCCTAAGCTTGTACCAACTGGACCTAACACATCTAATCACTTTGGGTCATTAAGTAATTTAATATCATTTGGATGTTTTGGGCCATTTCCTAATACCCATTATCCAACGTTCACTTCAGTAGCTCAAAAAAATACTACCCAATCTGGTATGAAGTCAAACAGTGGTGGACCAAAAATAAAAAAGAGAAAGCGTATGCTACATGAATCTTCGGATCAGACATTCGCCTTAAGATCACAACCAATTCATCAATTCATTACTCCCCTAATCCTAAGCGATGCTCCCGTTAATAATAATATTCCACCTATTGCTGATCTGAATAGCAATTAACTTATCATAAATCCACGTGTTAATTGTAATAACAATGTCGACAACTCTAGCTCGAATGAAATTGACAAAATTGTGGAAGTTGGAGTCGAGATTGGATCCCAAATCGATGTCAACAATAACATTCTTGCCGATTTTATTGGTGAAGCTGGTGCTCAAAATCATTGCCAATGAATTGTCTCTCCCTAAATGTACGAGGGATTAGGGAGGTGTCAAAGTCAATTGGGTTAGGAAACTGAAGATACAACACAAAATCAATTTTCTAGGGCTACAAGAAACCCAAATTTCTGATTTCTTGAAAATAAATGTTAAAGAATGTTGGGACTCTACTGATCTGGACTTCGATGGAGTAGATTCGAACGGGAGGTCTGGTGTTTGATTTCAATATGGGACACCAAATTATTTCAGAAGACAGAGGTAATAAAGAACCAATATTTTCTCATAGTTATTGGTACATGGTCTGGTGTCCCTGGGAAAACTATCTTTGCTAATGTATATGGTCTGTAAGCCCCATCTGATAAGAAAGCATTGTAGTGAGAACTACTCAGAATTAAACAAGCAAAAGAAGGTAATTGGTTGATCTTTGGAGATTTTAATGTAGTTAGGCGTAGAGAGGAGAGATTCAACTCACAATTTTTCCCCTCTAGTGCCTTTTCCTTCAATTGTTTCATACACAAAGCTGGAGATCAAGACTTCAACATGGGGGGTGAGCGATACACTTACATGATTCGCGTGGATGCTAAACTTAGCAAATTAGACAGATTCCCAGCATGTCTGAATTTTCTATCTATATTCTCCTCACTCTCTGCCACAGCACATCCTAGAGATCTATATGATCATTGCCCAATCACTTTGTCATCTACTTTTAAAGATTTCGGCCCTCCTTCTTTCAAGTTCTACAACTCCTGGATCTTGGTGGACGAACTTGATCAGATTGTGCAAAACGCATGGAGTGAATTCCAAGGATATGGAATAGGTGATTATACCTTGCAGCCATACTCATGTATTTGAAGGAGGAGATAAAGAATTGGCAAAGATCTAAACAAAAAAAGAAACTCAAGACGTAGTTAATCTAAAAGCCATGATCGCTAGTTTTGAAAAGATTGCGGAATCTCGAACGCTCTCTGACACTGAATTACAAACACGAAGCAATGGTATACAGAGAGGGTACTTGAGTTAGAGAAACTTGTAGATTTAGATTTAAAACAAAAGGCACGAGTAAAGTGGATAGTTGATGGCGACGAAAACACAAGATTTTTTCATGGTTTTATAAACAATAATAACATGAAGAATCGAATTTCGGGACTTATGATAAATTGCAGGTGGTCATCAGATGTTAAAGAGATTAAGGATGAAGCTTACAGTTTCTTCCAACAAAAATTCAAGGAATGGTGGATTTCAAGGCCCAGGTTAGTAAACCCACACTTCAAGTCTATCTCGATGATGGATGCAATCAAAATTGAAGCTCCCATTTCTCTAGATGAAGTTAAAGCTATCGTTTGGGCTTGTGGTGGAGACAAGGCTCCGAGACCAGATGGATTCACGTTCAAGTTTCTTAAAAAGTATTGGGCCACGATTCACACTGATGTTATGGAATTTTTCAGATACTTTGAAGATTATGGAACATTAGCTAGAGGTTGTAATTCTTCTTTTATAACACTTGCCCTCAAAGTGAAAGAGCCTTCCACCCTTAATGATTATCGGCCCATTAGCTTAATTGGATGCATTTATAAAATCATATCCAAGGTGTTAGCTACTCGAATCAAATCTGTCATCGGAAGTGTCATTGGTGAAGTTCAATCGGCGTATGTGGAAGGGCGGAATATTTTAGACGGGCCATTAGTTATCAACGAGGTGTGTGCTTGGGCTAAAAGTATAAAAAAAGAAGATACTTCTATTTAAAGTAGATTTTGATAAAGCATTTGATTCTGTGAATTGGGAATATCTCGACTCGATACTTTTGCAAATGGGGTTTGGAAACAAATGGAAATCATGGATTCGTGGGTGCTTATCTTCTTCCTGTGCATCAGTTCTTCTCAATGGCTCCCCCACCAAAGAATTCAATTTCACAAAAGGAGTTAGACAAGGTGATCCACTCTCACCGTTTCTATTCATAATCGCAATGGAAGGGCTTCATGGGGCATTGAAAACAGCTGGAGAAAAAGGCATTTTCAAATGTGTACAAACCCCGGGAAACGGCCCATTAATCTCACACCTTTTCTATGCGGACGATGCACTTTTTGTTGGTGAATGGTGCAAATCTAATCTTAAAAATCTTGCCCGTATTTTAAAGTGTTTCCACGTTACATCGGGACTAAAAGTGAATTTCATTAAATCAAAGGTGTTTGGCATCAGGGCTTCAAAATATAAAACCTCACAATGGGCTAGTTTACTTGGTTGTGAAGCGGGTTCTCTTCCTTTCACCCACCTGGGGGTTCCCGTTGGTGCAAACATGAACCTCATAAAAAACTGGAAACCAATCATCAATAAATTTCAAGCTAAGCTCTCTTGATGGAAATCAAAATCACTTTCGTTTGGTGGCCGTCTAACATTAATCAAGTCGGTACTTGGAAACCTTCCAACGTACTATTTGTCGCTTTTAAATGCTCCTACTGGTGTAATTGAAACACTTGAGAAGATCCGAAGGAAATTTTTATGGGGTGGAAATTACGAATCAAATAAAATCCATTGGGTTGCATGGGAGAAGGTAATCGCACCTAAAGATCTTGGAGGGCTGGGAGTGGGTTCTATAAAAGCCTGGAACATTGCTCTTATGGTAAAATGGTGGTGGCGCCTCAACTCTGAGGCCTCATCGCTTTGGGTAAAGGTCATTTCTAGAATTCATAATTTAGTTAATAAACCTAGAGATTACCTGTCGAAAAAAAAAGGATTATTGGGGTTTGGAATAATATTGCAGGTTCTAAAAAAGACATTGAATCTATAGGTTTTAGCTTCATCAACATCTTCATGCAAATTATCAAATCCGGGGACAAAACTCAGTTTTAGAATGATATTTGGAAAGATTCAGGAAAATTGAAGATATCGTATCCCTTATTATACGATCTTGAAGCACAGAAAAGTTGTTTGGTGGGTTCGAGAATTCAAGAACACGGATTCGAGTGGGGATGGAAGTCTTTCCCAATTAATGTTGGTTTATCTGATGAACTGATCAGACTAACCAGGGAGATGACAACCATACGTCTTCAAACTGGTTCAGATCATCTCTCGTGTTGTTTGGCATCAAATGGCAGATACAAAGTTGAGTTGCTCAGGAAGAAAATTGACCACATTCCTTTGTCTCGTCCACCGCAGTTGATGGTTAGTTGGAGTAAATTAATTCTGATAAAGGTGACGAGTTTTATTTTGAGGGATGTTCAAGACCGTATACCATCTACGGTTGCACTTGCTCACAGGGGGGTAAAAATTGACTCTAATTCATGTGGTTCTTGCATTAATGGCTTGGAATGTACATATCACATACTGGTAGATTGCCCCTATGTTGGTCTGATTAGAAATAAAGTACTAAACTGGTGTGGGATAACGAACATGGAGGTGTACACTATCAAGGATATCATCGAATTTGCAACCAATTGGGGTAGAAGTCCAAAGAAAAGAAAGCGGGTCATTGATGTCTGTTATGGACTATTATGGACCCTATGGAAAGTGAGGAATGATCGAATATTTCAGACGA